ACCTCGTGGGATGGCAAGAAGAGTCGTCGGGGGCTCTACGTTAGATGTCTGGTGGGTCTTCTTCGGCAGCTGAGGAACGGCAGTTGTGGTAGCGACGACTGACTCGACGGCATAGAGACAGTTGTGACATCGGCATCTGACCATTGACCATTGGAAACGTTGACGTGGACTTCGGGTTGACGTGACGACAGCGGCTTGACATCGGAACGATGGCAGGTGGCGACGTAGAAGTTTTCAAAAAAGTATTAACTTTGCCTACGTGGCGCGGTTTTTCACGCCGGGGGGGGGGTGTGAATCAGTAGTGAGGGGCAGAGGTTTCCTCACACGCAAAAGAAACCCAGGGTCAAGTCAATCCAAAAGAAGGGAAATTCCAAAACCAAAAAGAATCAACACGGTCTTCCACCGTGGCCCCAAAAATCGCAAGCTGTGGCTGCGGGTATGGTCGTGTGGACATCGTAGTCAACCTAAATCAGGGTTAGCAACGAGCAAAGGCGAAGTTAAGGTCCGCCAAAAACAACACACAAAGAAAAATGAAAACAAAACAAAAGCAAAAAACCGTGAGTTGTGGGGGAGTAAGATGTGGGAAAGCATACTGGGGAACCAACACTCTCCATGAGTGCTCCATAGTCAACCTAAAGTAAAGCTGACGACATAAATAAAGAGCGAGCTCAAGGCTCACCCAAAAACCGTAAACTGAGGAAAAGAAAAAAAAAGACATATGTGGAAAAACATAGAATATAGAAGAAGTAAAGTGTGGAATAAAGGCAACTTACCTGAGGGGCGAACTCTTGATCGCCCCTCTCCTCTTCATTTCCGCCAAGGCCTTGTACTGTTCCAAGAGCAAACCGTACTGCAGGGGGTCGATGTCGTTGACTCCGTGCGGATTATCGAAGCAGAAGGATGTTTCGTACTCCGTCGATTTGCATCTCCTACACTCCTTTCTGCGTCAAGTCAGTCCGCTTCGGCATGCTTAGTACAGCAAAAAAAACAACCTCCTCGTGTCGCATTCACTTCCATCTTCCTCGATACTCGTCGATACGTCTTACATCTCGAAGATGAATACTTCTCCTTACAAAAATGACAATGAGTGGTCTCCTCCGCTCGAAATGCCTTTCCAGAGTTCTTTCCCTGGACTCTCCTCTCCGCTCAGAGTGCCTATGGGAAATTGGGGCTGGGGCCCCCATCCTGGGGGGCGCGCGGGCGTTGTCGAGGCGTAGAAGGAACCGAAGATGTTGTCGAGCCCTCCTGTCGAGTGAAAGATTCAAGAGCCCTTTGCAGGTCAGAGTATGCTGTGGAGGTAGAAGGCTGCTGCAGTATCTTTTGAACCGTCTGTTAAAGGATACTGGATCGCGGCTGTGGCAATGGAAGCTGAAATGCCTTCATCGGCTGTGGTTTAGACTTGACCTTCTTCTTCCGAGGCTTCGGGGCTTTCAGTTCAGGTGGAGTCACTTGTGGAAATAGGCGCTATGGTCTCTACTATGTTTCTGGTTTGCAGCTGTTCCTTGAGAACATCGCGATACCATTCGTGTATGATGGACATCTGTGCTACGATCATGCTGCGTTTATAAAAGTCTCCACTTGCGGGATGTGACGTCATATTTGGCCAGAAGATCAAGTCTCGACTGAAGCTGCTTGGGTCTCAGATACAAAATTCGCATGATTTCTCTCAGGATGTCGTACCGTCGATTGTTGATGTTGTAGATATTCGTGAAGAGGATATCCATGCGGTCGACGATATCCTCTGGACCCGGCTGCGGCCTATGACTCAGTTCCTGCAGATAGTTGGTTGCATCTGCAGTCATCCGCACAAGTGATTCCGTCGAGCCAGAAATAAGTAGAGCCGTCAGATGTGCAGAACTATCTCCGAACTCCTCCTTCCTCTGCGGATGGGCCTTCTTAATCTGAACTTGTTCGAAGAAGTCCTTGTGGATAAAGTTGTCTAATGCAACCAGATCTGAGTGACTCAACTGCCGCAAATTGAAAATGGGATCCGTCGACAGCGCCATAGTCATCTGCTGGAGAAGTTGAAGGACAGATCGATACTCCCGTGGCACTGTGGACGTCTCTACATCTCCCTTGACTCGGAATTGGAAATCTCCGCTGACGTC